TTAAATTTAGAGGCAAGCAGAGTGTTTGTTGGACACCAATTTAGAAGCTGCATTCACACAGTTTTTGGCCTTGTGGAGCTGGAGAAGGACTTCCTATTTATGTAAATATATAATCAGGCCACGACCCACAGACAGAGCTCAGTCACATGGGGCGGAATACAAGGTTGTCCTTAAAACTGTGCCCACACACAACTAGATAGTGCTACGACCAGGCAGAGCAATTAACATGACATCACTACTAAAGTCAGTTAACAGGGTCTGCCGTTTACCATCAAAGGAAAAGAAGAAGAGGCAAATACTTTCTGTTTTCAAAATTAAGGACTTGAGAACCTCTGTTCTTGTCTCAAAGAAAAGCCCAAGTCTAAATCGTCCAAAGCTATTGCTACAATTGGTCTAGATTTCTAGCCTAGGAAAACTCACAGTGCTAGATGATTCCTCAGCATCCCCCTTTCCTTTTCCTGCATCATTTCTAACATCTTCTGCTGCGACAGCTTTCTTGCAATGAATGTTTGTTTTGGCAAATAACAGCTGGTTCAAAGTTGAATATGGAACACCATCACAAAAGAGCCCGCTGAGCCATTCAACAGAGCACAAAAGCAGATAATTGGTTGTAATGAGTGCGATTATACACATTCTTACCCAGACTGCATCTACTATGTGTGTTTAGTAGAGTAACTTATGGTCACGGAGAGACCCTAAAAATACCACAGCACATTTACAGAAACCTGCTGCATCCACTACAGCTGAAGACAGAGATCCCTCTTTGACCAATTTTCTAAAACATTTAAGACAAAAATGTGTTGTATTTTACTCCTATTATTCTCTATTCGTGGCCATTTCAACAATTCTACCTCCAAGTATAATTTCCCATTAACATGCAAACCTACAAGCATGCAAAATACACTCAGCAAGCTCCATTACTTTACAAGTGCATGCAGCATTTTTCTTGAGAGCTCCCACACACACACACACACACACACACACACACACACACAAGATACTGAACATTACCTATACTTCATCATTAGCAACTGAAATACACTCATCTGCTGTTTGATCATATGCAGCCTATCTCTATTTCAGATGTTGTCATGAATTATGCTTTAAAACGCATTAAAGGTGTTGTTCACTGAAAAAACATTTTTAATTATTATTTCTAACTAAATTTGGCTCTCAGAGTTTAACATGCGGGCTGAAAATAAAAATAGTCTCCTGCATTAGCTTCTGATAAACGCTAGGATTTGAAAAGCCTGACAGATCTATGTCACACTGTTAACACTAACCTTGACTCACGTCGGGGAAGCAACTCCACCACACAGCATAACTTCTGCAGGCTTGTGTTATTTGTGGAGATAAAACATCCATGCTGCAGAGCAAAAAGAGCTAGTGGTAGAGTTGCTGTTAGCTAAGGCGAGATACTCAGAGATCTGGAAATAAGACTCCAAATCCTGCTGTCTGAAGCTACTTTCTCCTCCAGCTGACTTGTACCACAGACACCATATATGTAGACACTCCATGGACTGGCGCTGACTATCGGGCTGCCATCTTGGATGGGTTCCCATTCGCCTCCAGTGCATTTATTTCCACTGAGGAAGGCGTTTACCCAACCACAAACCATGGTATGGCATGATTAAAATATAAATAAAATAAAATAAAATATCAAATCCCAACAAAAACAACGGGAGGGAAATTAAAGTCAATAGTAATCCCACATGATCTGTTTTCATTAGTACCCCGGTTGTTGCAACTGTAGGCTGCACAAAAAAACAAACTGGCGTAGTTGCTGACCCTCCTTTGACTCCAGTTGGGTTTGGAGAGTGAGGAACCCTCCCAATATGGCGACTACACTGTTGTGCTCTCTAGCGCCCAGTGGTGCATCTACATATTCATGTCAATGACTTGTAATTCGTGAAGAAGAATGCCAAAACAATTTGTACCTTTAATAAACATATTAAAAATGAAATGCTTAGCTTATATGATACTACGAGATAGACGTATTTATGAAGTAGAGAGAATGAAAGGAAAAACACACACTGTATGTTCTACTTTGTTTCTTTTAGCTATTATTTTTTGTGTGTTTTATTTTGCATTATTTGTTTTCTCATTTCATTAATATAAGAAGAAAAAAATAAATAATAATACTTTTTGTGTACATGTTTGTTCTCTCTCCATCTTTTGCCAAAGCTTACTCAGTAAACCAGGGCAGACTGTTTTTTTTAACTATAATAACTTTGTTGTCATTGGTATTTATTTTGGTTAAAGGGAACAGATAACATAAGTTTTGCTTCTTTCTGTTCCTTTTTCATGTTTTGTTGTCGTAAACCTGTTTTGTGTTTTGTTTTTAATTGTAAATAAATGAAAATAAACTTTAATTAAAAAAAGAGATGTCATTGTTAAGAGAAAATGACACATTTACTCTAACAATCCTGCCTGAGGGCAAGAACACAGTGGGAGGTAAATGGTGTATGCATTAAAGAGGGATACAGAGGGAAAAGAAAAATTCAAGGCAAGATACGTAGCTAAAGGATTTACTCAAAAGAAGGGCATAGACTATGAGGAAACATTCTCACCGACTGCAAACCTAACAAGCATACGAGTGTTAATGCAAAAAGCAGCCCAAGAAAAACTGAGTCTACATCAAATGGATGTGAAAAGTGCTTATTTACATGCACCAATAGATCAAGAGATATACCTTGAAAAACCCAAAGTTTATGAAGAAAGGTCAGAAGGTGACAACATGGTGATGAAATTAAACAAGTCAATATATGGTCTCAAACAAGCTGGTTGAAACTGGAACCACACATCGCATGTTTTCTTATGTAACAATAACTTTGTACAGAATCCTGTAGACAGTTGTGTGTATACCAGACAATCAAAAAATGACAAAGTCATACTCATCCTATGGGTGGATGATCTGATTATTGCAGCCACAGACGAGAAAGTACTAAAAGAGATCAAAGAAACCTTAACTTCAAGATTCAAAATGAAAGACTTGAGACAACTGACCTATTTTCTAGGCATTGATTTCAAGCTGGACAAAGACTATGTTAAGATGTCACAAACAAGATATGTAGAAAGTATTCTAGAAAGGTTTGACATGCAGAACTGCAAGCCTAGATCTGCTCCTTGAGAACAAAAACTTGACTACAATGGTTACGCTAAAAAGATGGACAATGGTCCGAAACATCGGGAAGCTGTCGGCAGTCTTATTTGCTTAGCTACATGAACCAGACCTGATTTGAGTTTTATCGTAAGTAAACTGTCACAGTATTTTGCAGAACCTGCAGAGCAGCAGTGGGTTACCGTCAAACACGTGCTAAGATACCTGAAAAGTACCTCAAGTAAGGGATTGTGCTACAGGAAAAGCGAGGATGAGAAACTTGGAATGCATCCATGCAGTGATGCAGACTGGGTAACTGATGTAAATGATCATCGCAGCATATCAGGTTATTGTGTAAGTCTCTTAAAAACGGACCAGTAGTTTCATGGAAAACAAGAAAACAATCCACTGTCGCACGATCAACGTGAGGCCGAATACATAGCACCAGCGGCCACTGTGTCGGAGTGTTTGCATCTGATGCATTTTCTAAGGTATCTTGATGGATGTGTACACTCTTGTACAAAGGTTTATGAGGATAACCAAGGGACGATTGCAATAGCTAACAATCCCGTACAAAAACAATGTTGTAAACCAGTCGACATACGGTATCATTTTGTGAGATCAACCGTAAGCGATGGAATATTATGTCTGAGCTGTTGTCCAACCGACCAAATGGTTGCAGATGTCATGACTAAACCCGTTACAACCTGTAAGCTTGTCAAGTTTAACCACTTTATGTTTGGATCCGATTATTAATGTTTCTCAGAGACAATGGGACAACAAAACCTCAGAACAAATGGGAGTGTTAAGTATTATGTTCTGATGTTAAGTGTGTTTGTACGTACATATGTGTATATGAGGCTTGTTCTTGTTATGGGCCAGGAAAAACGGAAGTGATGCGTGTGTGTTACCCTTTGACCTGTGACATGAGGAAATAAAAGCGAGCTTCTGGCAAAGATGGGTGTGTGAGCGCTACCCGGATGGAAAGGACTGGCCCATGGACGTAACTTTGGGGGGGGGACAGGGGGGACATGCCCTCCCCACTTTTTCCAAAGTCAAGTTTTGACCCCGCACTTTTTACTATCCAAAAACAATGTTACGCTATATCAAACTGACAATGGTTGAGCTCTAGGACCAAGAGGAAAACAACCGTTACTGTTGAAGCCTGTTTCCCATTAGAGCTTACTGTAAAGACACCCCACCCCACCCCCCACCCCCACCCCGTGTCCCCCCCACTTCTAAAGCGAAAATGACGTCCATGGACTGGCCGTCTGACGCCGAGCTCAAAAAGGGTGAATCTTGAGTCCGTGTGAGTTTTATGAGTTCACCTCCATCGATGCAACAGACTTACGTCTTGATTCCGTTGTGTGGAAGATAACGGCTAACAGTTCCTTCTTTTTGAGAATGATCCAAACTGTTGTTTTGGCCACGCCTAATGTTTTTGCTATCTCTCTGATAGGTTTCTTTTATTTTTTCAGCCTAATGATGACTTGCTTCACCGATAGTGACAGCTCTTTGGGTTCATCTTGACAGCAACAGATTCCAAATGCACACTTGAAATGAACTCTGAACCTTTTATCTGCTCATTGTAATTGGGATAATGAGGGAATAACGCACACCTGGCCATGAAACAGCTGAGAAGCCCATTGTTCCATTACTTTTGGTGCCTTAACAAGTGGGAGGCACACATGCAGACTGTTGTAATTCCTACACCGTTCACCTGATTTGGATGTAAATACCCTCAAATAAAAGCTGACAGTCTGCAGTTAAAGCTCATCTTGTTCGTTTCATTTGATATCCATTGTGGTGGTGTACAGAGCCAAAAATGTTTGCATTGTGTCGATGTCCCAATACTTATGGACCTGACTGTAGTTATTTCATGAGCCTTTTTTAACTCACTAGTACCCCTGAAGGACTTAGTTGTTCGTCATTTTTTCAAAACTTATTTTGAGCCTGAGAGGGTTAGACTTTGCTCTCTGAGCCAACATGTAGACAACAGGTTATACTTTCTTTTACTTTTGACAAACCAGATCCAGGTTCGGCAGTAAAGTCCTCATGTACAGATACCAGTTTGAGCCTGTTGAATAATTTGAGATTAGATTAGATTAGATTAGATCAATCTTATCTTTTTCTCTCTTTTGATTCCAACTCATGCTCCTGTTATGAAGCTTAACCCTGGCTGCAAACCAGCAGCCTCCCTCCTCCTCCTCCAGAGATGCTGTCAGATAGGAGCCTTTTTTACACGTGATTACCCCGACAACACACACATTTGCTGCTCCCGCTTGCAGACAAACAGCTGGATGAGACAGAGAAGCGCTTCAGCAGCAGCACATCTGGACTTTCCTCCACTTTGCTCCGTTTCAACCTCTGCTTGTCGTTCCGATGGATATCTACGCCTCAGCTTTATCTCCAGCTCTGGACATCGGCGCCGGCTGCTACCTGCTGGTTCTAAGTAAGTCCAGAAACTGAAACTGTGCCATATAGTTTACTTTTAATGCAGTCGTGTGTTAATCCCTCCTGAATTTGGAGACAAACATCATCTTTGGACAGAATTTACAAAAACAAGTCTGAGAAGTCGAATCTGTAACTAAAGAGAATATGAATCAATTAATGTGCATTATCTCAATAAAAGTTGTGTTTTGTCGTTTATTTTGAGTGAATCAGGTGGTTCGAGTTCATCTGAGGTGATTTTTTTGGGACCATGTAATTTCTGCACTCGCAAATCCTCATGAAATGGGAAATAAATAAAGTTTTCTTTAGTCTAGACTTTTTTTTCCAAATTATAGACTATTTTAAAATCAGACGTAAAATTAAGAATTTAAAATTATTCATGACTCTTTGAAAAACGTTGCACTCCCATACTTCGATTTTTATAACAACCTTTTTTTTAATAATTATTGGCTATAATCTGGCATGTTTACATTCATGTAAGCTGCTTTTACAATTATGTTCATTAACATGCACTGCCCTAAATAAACAAATTAAATTAAATTATTTAAGGACGGCTTTACTGGATTTCAGATCTAATTAAAATAAGCTCCTGGTCTGAATTAAACCAGAAAAGAGTTTCAATCAGAATTTGGATGTTCAGGCTCTAGGCTGTGTGAGAAATCAAAGGAATAAAAGTAGAAGATGGGAAAAAAATACACATGATGGAAATTCAGCTAAACTGAGTTAAATTGTTAAAAAAAACATTTCAATTGGCTTTTTTGTTAAATCCAGTGATACGTTTTATAACCGTCAAATGTCTTCTCAGACATTATTTTGACACTGAAAAGTAATTTTCTTATGAAATGACACAAATTCACCACGTTTTTTTTCTAAATGGTGCATGAATCTAGAAACGTCTAGAATCCTGCATCTTTTAGTCGATTCTTTGCACCAACACACCTGACGCCGATGAATCTTCCAATTCAGTCTTGGCACTGAAGAAGCCTGAGAGGGAATCGTCTTCAGAATGTCAAAAAACTCCGCTTCCCTTCATTTAACATCAAGATTTTAATGTCCTGGATGACTCCGTGTCTACACCAAAGAAGAGCAACAACTCCAACATGCAGGATAGTGGCCCTGCCTTAGAGGACTGGTTCAGCATGTCAGATGTGGCCCATTTGCACCATAATCAATACAGATGCTAATGTGTTTTATACTGTTACTTCCACAGAAAGATTCCTGCCTGATTTGACCACTGTATACATGCATAACAGTTGATCTCCATGAATTTATTTGTAAAATAAAGTCACAATTATTTTGAAATTCTTGACATTTTAAGACGACGCCTTCATTTTGAGCTTGGTTTGTGTCCTGTTGGACATAAACTCAAGAGAGACAATTTAAGAAGCTAGCTGTATGCTGGGATTAACATTTTAAGTATATATAGTTTTTATAGAAATACTCATTTTGTCTGACTTCACCACAGCAATAACAATTACATTAGTAGTCATTAGATTTTAGCACTGGACTGTTAAATGAACTAAATGGTCTCTATATAATCCTTTGTGTGGTAAGATTTGGTTTCAGAATTGATTTAAGTGGAGCTTTCAGTCGTGATGATTAAAGGACAGAACAAGAAGCTGTGGAATGCTTCGGGTCAATAAAGAGTGCTCAGTGGCACATAGGGTAGGAACAGAAGGTTTAGTGTTTTTGATCCTCACTAGGACTATACCATGGGTTTATTAAACACAATGTCGTTTCTAACGTCCAGGTTGGAGCTAAATGTCATGTCTCGTGGCAAGTGCTTAACCCAAGACATGCAGAAATCTGACTCGACGTGCAGGTAGGATGAAAATAAAGAATTTTATTGTTAACAAGAACAAAAAATGCACAGGGAAGTCCTGGGGGGGGGGGGGGGGGGGGGGGGGGCCAGTAGCTCGAGTCCATAAACGCTCGAGGAGAACGAGGTGAGGAAGCCGAGGTGATCTCAGGTCAGTCCAAGGGTGATCAGGAATAGGTTAGACAGCGGAAGGCGTCCAACCAGGCACAGCGGAGGAGGATGGGACGCGGTGTGAATATCCAGTAGGTAAACAGCAAAGTTGAGGCAGGTTGGATGAGATTCTGGAGAGAGCAAACAACACCAGATGTCAGGGTAATCCAAAGAGTAATCAAAGCCAGTCCAAGTTCAAAAATCCAAGATGTGCAAAATACGAGTGACGAGAATGCGTTCACAAAACCAACAAGAGCGAGTGGCTGGGGCTACCTATACAGGAGCAATCATCCGGCGTAGTGAGGCGTCTCCATCCTCCTTTTATGGCCACGTTCCTGATTGTGGATCTTCTGCAGCTGCGGCCCCCTCCGCTGTCACCTGTGGGAAATCAGCTTGATAGCGTGAGATAGGGGATGGTGTCACTCACCTCGGCTCAGGAACGTGACACTAAAGCATGAATGAGGACAGTAAAGGATGGTGTAAGAGGGTTTCTTAATGACTTTAACCCCTAGGGAACACCATTTTGGTCAGGACCGATGGTTGGGACAGAGGAGAGGTTCCTGTTAGAAATAAAGACAAAATGATTCCACTTAAAACAGAATTTTAAAAAACCAGAGTAACAGACTGAATGTTCCATTCTGCCGTCATTTACGGTTTACATTTAAGGAGTTGCAAGTTCTGTTTGGAGTTAGTTTTGTTGATTGGAAATGTTTGTTGTCTGAGTGAAGAGCTGACTGTTCGGGGAGTAGAGGAGGTTCTCGGAGGTTCTCGTAGCTTCGATAATCGAATGTGGACTGGAATCGGATTCAGGGTGTTTATCTGCCGCTCCACGAAGAGTTCCAGATCATGGCAGCTCCCAACAGGATCTCCTTCGGGGAGATCAGTACAGTACAGAGGACGTACCCGCCGAAGTGCAGGCTCTGCCAAATCCTCCACAAACACAAGGTCAGCCATGATAGCACCCATTATGCGAAAAAGCAGTTTTTCCACCGACATAATTATTTATTGGGTAAAATTATTTATCGATAAGGAACATGTGTGGATGACAGATCTCCCTCATTCTGCCACTAGATGCTGTCCTCCTGCAAATGACAGCCCGTCACTTTACGATTAATCATATTCAATTTTATGTTGAACCATTTTTTTGGTTTCTGACAAGAATGGATGTGGGCAAGCTGTATGGGTCCCAGCAAGGTTTGTGCGTGGACTCCATGGTGGCCCCACAGAGGTTTGCCCGCAAAGATTTTAATGGGCGGTGTTTGAGTCAAACCCTCTGAAAACCCACGTAGGGCCCGTTAAAATCTATGTGGGCAAAAATCTTTCTGCACAAACTCCAATGGGGCCAAGTGTAGAAACTGTGGACAAACCCGGTTGGGACCCACATAGCTTCCTCAAATAAATTCTATATGGGGCCCACCTGTGTGCCATTTAGTTCGTAGGATGGAATATTGGACAGTTTCCATGAACATTTAATGAATTAGGGCCCAGATCTTTAATCATGAATTGCCAAATAATTCAAGTTGGAAATGCTTGTTAGTTATGTTTCTAAGTCTGTAACAAGATGAGAACATTTCTCAAAAATCTGCTGTGTCCAATTCTGACATCTGGTGGTGATTCTGAGAACTACAGCTGGTGAGTGTCAATTTTATTGTATTTTAAGCAATAAAACATGACAGTTAGTATAATTAAAATATTCAATTTAAGACATGTGACTATTGTTTCTTTTAACAGATATTTTAAGGGAAAAATGCAATGTGGTCAGTGGAGTTAGGTTTTTCATGCCTCAAAGGAAGTAATTGTTAAATACAGCCTGCTGATAAAAACGCCCACAACTACTCGTAAAGCTGGACTTCATTCTGGAGAAGCTCTCAGCTGCTCAGCATGAGTTAGACACACTCTCATCCTCCCTCCGGTGGAGCGCTGTCGCCTAACAAAGCTGCAGGAGTGGTAGTAATTAGTTAGGATGACAGACACTGTGACAGTGCTACGGCTATTTCACACTTTACATCTGCTCTAAACTTGGCTAAAGGCAGATGCAAGGCCTGATGGAAAGTGGGTGATGGTGCTTTGCACATGATTGCTGCCACTGCTGGAGGATGAAGAGGAAAGCTGTCAGACTTCACAGTAAAAACAGTTTTCTGACTAAACGTTCATGTTGTCAAGAAAGTTTGTGATTTTATAGGAAATTGCATCCCTGCTGCATTTTGCGTCAAAATAAATCTGACTAGGTTTCAGCTCAGGGTCCAAAAAATAATAATACAAGAATATCAGTAAAGCTTTCATGTGATTACAGTTTTGGATAGCCTGTTTGGTTTCATCTGTCGTGCATGTGAACAATCGCTGGGATGACGAAAGCCAAAAAAAAATATATCAAGTGAATGAAGCTGGTCTACACTACATTTTATTCCAAACTAAAATAGAATTACTTCATGCTGTAAATCCAGCTGTTTTCATCTCTTTGGTTCATTTTTTTATATTTTTCTCTCTATCCAATCCGCTGATCCAGTTTAAAGAAACATACAATCCCATCATCCCTTTCATCTGGATGCCAGATCTCTGGATCACATCTATTTTCAGAACTTAATTAAATGGAAGTCAGTGCAGCATAGAAATATTCAAATAGGTGATGCAACAAAGATGACAAAAGCTGTTCTGATTGTACCCTTATTTAAAATGTGTTTAAATAATGAAAATGTCCTTTCCCCTGCAGCTTTGTCTCTAAAATACATACAACACACTCAATCCTGCTGAGAAGCAGTCTCATAACATGCTGGTGTTGATCACAAGATCCTTCAGAATAAAAGTCTGTGACAAAAAGACAAATTAGTAATCTCAAAATACTAAAAACATCTCAAGTTTATTTTTTTAAATGTGTTTTTTTTTCTGGTAAAAGGTAAAGTCTTTAAACTAAATCAGAACACTTACACCTTTTTATTTATTTTTTGTTTGTTTGTTTGTATTATGTGCCTACAGCTCCAAACAGAAGTTATGATGTATGAGCCAGATAAATGCAACCTGCAGCTCTGGAGCCA